CTTGACACTTTACATCCCTGGGTTTGGTTGTGGCCCCACATCCCCTCACATCACTCCAGTGTTCCCTGAGATCGTGTGCCACCCAGGACAGGATGCGTGTGTGGTTGTGAGTAACGCATGTCGGAGATGACCTCATTCAACAGCCTTCCCTAGAGTTGGGCAGCCAGCCAATCTTGTATAGCTTTCCTTCCTGGAGATCCGGCTAACAGATCAGGACTTGCGCATGTTCAGCATCTGGGGAAATACATAATGACAGTACCATCATGCTGTTTGATGCACAATCATTCAAAGAACCATACTGTATTGTTCTACGACCTCAGTGATTCCCGGTCTGGTTTTAGGTCTCAAAATGGATAAAACACATGTTTCGCCCTACGGACACTACAACATAAGCATGTCTCCGAGACCACTTGGGATGTGTCGAAGAACCAACACGCAGGTCCTCGGCTCTTGTCACTGGCGACTCTTGAGCATCCTGTACTGCGCTTGTCGCTAGCTGAATGTGTGCATATTGTGAATAGCTGTTTTTTTTACACATGGGTGAAGCAATTGGGTTGCTATGGTGAATAAATTGGATCTCTGTTGAGAGTCTGCTGTTGCTGCCGCAAGCAATGCTACTGTGGATGGACGAAATCCTGCATCGCTTTGAAACCATGGTTTAAACTATTGTTTGTTAGTACTTGGAGGGGGAGTCCAGAGATTATTTCATCCACAGTATCATTGCAATCTTTCTCCCCCGAGAGACCCCAAGCCAGCTTCCCCCTGTTTCGGCCTGCGAGATGGTGGATGCTTCGCTGCGGCGGCTCGACATGGCGACGAGTCTGTTCACCAACCAGTTGCTTTCGGGAACCCGTGAAAGGCTACTGTTAGAGTCAACCATTTTGCGGTCCCAGATCCGGACATGCCAAACCGAAGCAGTGTCACCAGGTATCAGTTTACCATCTCAGCACTGCATTTACTGTCCATACACTTCAACTTGACATCCGCGAAGAATTGCGAGGCTTCATCTAGGCTGGCTCGTGAGCCAGGGAAGGCTGACACGCACACATAAATCAGTGACACGAAAGTAACTATCCCCCTTGCCATCCTCGCAAAGAAATGGTTGAGACACCAAAACAGCCCAATTTGGATAGCAAACACGAAGCTTGGACGTTGGGCAAACTTGCCCTAAAGGGGTGGTTTTCTCTTAACCTTTGCAGAAGGGGTATTCTGTGTATATATATATATATAGATAATTCTGTCCCATTTAGGAGGCTTTAAACACGAATTATCCTTCCGAGAGGGGTCCCCTGTTTTTACACAATAGTACTATCCAAGAATCACAAACCCAAGCCTCAGGCCGGCAATTCACAACGGAGCCTCTCGGGGAGACCCGCTGCTGATTTCCGCGAGCAGCAGCACCGCAGCACCCGCTGCGATTCCCGCACGGAGTTGCTTGAGCATTCCTCAGGCATGGGTCACATGGCTGATAGGTCCCTTGGAGTGTTTCGGTTTAGGGTTTAGGGTTTCGGGTTTGGGGTTATTGTTTAGGGTTTAGGGTTTAGGGCCAAAGGAAAATCAAATGGAAGGCGGCAAAATGAGCAAAAGCACAAGGGGAAACAAGAAGGAAACCACAAGGAGAACGACAAGGACTCCACAAGGAACCAGATCCAACCTGTCGTAAATTACCCGAATGGTTAGGTTGTCAGGGTTAGACAGTGACATTGCCTGTGAGCCTTCGATTCAAGCAAAACAAGAAATGGCCAAGCAAAACGCCAGAAGTGTCCAATCGGTTTCGGACATGACACCCTGATACTGTTGGCACCGCTCTTTTCCACAAAGGCCAAATCCAGCGCCTGACAAACTCGTCCGTGATGGCCTGCTCCATAACTTGCGCGGCCCCACCTCACAACGCTGCTGTCAGCCCGGCTGGCAGCAAACGCCCCCCAGGTCGCTTGGACCTTCAGCACCCGCGTCAACTGACGTGCCACTTTGCTGCTGTCCCCGCCGTGCTTCGGATCACCCCATGTCACCACTGTGCCATCATCTCGGATGGCGGCAAACGCACGGCCAGTGGCCTGGATCTCCTTCACCCGTACAAGCTGCTCTTGCACCGCCCTGCTGTCACCGCCATGCCCACTACTGCCCCATGTCACTGTGGCGCCGTCCTGTGTGATGGCAGCAAACGCACTGCCATAATTGCTTGCAGCAAGAGAGTCCTCAGAAATAGAATGAGTGTCTGGAAATCGCGATGCTTGGATGTGAACAACCCGCGCCAAACATGTTTGCACCCGGCTGCTGTCGCCGCCCCAGTTTGCAGCTCCCCAAGTCACCACGGAGCCATTGACCTTGATGGCAGCAAAAGCGCCACCTGTTGCTTGAACTTGCTGAACATCTGTCAGCTGCTCCTGAACTTGGCTGCTGTCACCACCAAGCTTCGGATCACCCCAAGTCACTACAGTGCCGTCGCTCTTGACGGCAGCAAACGCGCACTGTGTTGCTTGGATTTGTCGGACATCCGCCAGCTGCTCCTGCACGCGGCTGCTGTCCCCGCCAAAGCCTGCAGCTCCCCAAGTCACCACAAAGCCATTTTCCCTGATGGCAGCGAAAGCACCGCTTGTTGCTTGAACTTGCAAAACATCTGTCAGTTGCTCCTGAACTTGGCTGCTGTCACCGCCAAGCTCCGGATCGCCCCAAGTCACTACAGTGCCGTCGCTCTTTATGGCAGCAAATGCAGCCAGTGTTGATTGAATTTGTTGGACATCCACCAGCTGCTCCTGCATGTGGCTGCTGTTGCCGCCACAGACTGCCTTTCCCCAAGTCACCACCGAGCCATTGACCTTGATGGCAGCGAAGGCAAAGCATGTTGCTTGAACTTGCTGAACGTCTGTCAGCTGCTTCTTAACTTGTCTGCTGTCACCACCAAGGAGCGGATCGCCCCAAGTCACTACTGTGCCGTCGTCCTTGATAGCAGCAAATGCATCGTCAGCTGCTTGGATCTGCTGCACTTGCGATGGGTTTCCAGGCGTCGTAAAGCCCCAGGTTGCCACGGTACCTCCGACACAAAGAGCAAATGCCCTGCAGGTAGCAGCTAGCTGGGCGTCTTTTGCAACTGCGATGACAACGTCCCCATCTTGTATGCCTGCCTCTATCAATGAGGAGGACAAATCGAGTTGCTGGCCTTTAAAAACCAGCCTCAAAAAGGGCCGCAGGAATTCCCTCTGCGCCCCGGCTTGCAAATTCTTGACGAGCGACTCTGGCGAGAGCCGTACAGAGCATGGACGCCCGCTGGGCAAGTGAACATCCACCTTGATGGTGCTCTGGCACTCCATTGAATCCGAGAAGCTTGGTTGCTACAGAGCTTGTCACAAATCATTCTTGCACTTTGAAAGCAAACGATTTCCGGGTTCAGAGCCAATGGCGGACAAGGTTGTCATGTGTGGCTCCAGGAGCATATCCAAAAAGCCCGTGTTTTGAAAGCCATGGCCGTGCTTGAAGAAGCATCCACATGGATACAGCAAAGCAGAAGGAGGGGGTATCTACAGCCTTTTCACCAAACTGACTAGGGGTACAAAGGTCAGTTTGTTTTTTCAATATTGACCTTCCAAATGAGGATTCGCGCAGCTTTCCCTCCCCGGCTCCCTTGAACTGCGTCTGAAGTTTAAGCTGGGCTGCAATCAGCCAGGAAGTTTTGGGCAGCGGCACCATAGCCAACGGCACCTGAGCAACTGGCAGACTCTGCACTGCAAGGCTCCGAAGGTTGATCGGATAGCCGGGGCAAAAGGTGTTTGGGTCGCCAATCGATAGATAGCATTAGCAAGCAATCAACCTGTGCTGGGCAATGGCAATGGCCTCAAATGACCAAATCTGCGGTACAGTACTAGAACCAGGTCTGGTTGAACGTTGGCATGGCTTTGTAACCACTTTATCCACCCACCCTTCCCACTGCGCATACACTCGTGTCTGGATCCATGTTAAAATAAAATAGCAATGAACTTTGTGAACCAAAGCGACACCAGCAGCTGAGGTTGCCCAGTTTGAGGCACACCTAACTTTGAACGAGCGGTTTTGGGGTTCGAGATATGGCTACTCGCCCGTTTCGGTCGACAGATATGTGAGTTGTTCAAACAAGTGATCCACAGTCCACTGCTACCTGTTGGTAGGTCGGCATCGGCACCAACCTACATGTAGCAAGCCACAGCTGGGGGTATGGTTTCTAGCTGGCCGATGGGAACCTAGATTCATAAACCCTTGGGTGATTGAAAGGGGCGTGTGCCTTGTGAGTTGTGTTTTCTCACTTTCGGGGCCAACATTCCCTCTATTCAATAGCTTGAAAGGAACATCCATCCGGCTGCATCCAAGGCGCCTGTGGTGCCGTGACATGTTTCGACATGGAGCTTGGCAAGTTAGTTGAGGTTCAGCCGTATCTGCGGATGCAAGCGGCGAAAAAGCAGATTGATGCAACTTGTACTGATCCAACCTGGAAGGATGAAAACTCAAACAAGGAACCGACCAATCTGACAAGGCCCCCTCAGAATAATTCCTACCGCATTCGGCAGTTGCCCTGTCACCTCACCGCTAAGACAAGCTTGTTGAGTCATGATCAGGGCTCCTGTTGGTTTGTCCATTTCCATCTCATGAAGCGATTCGGAGTATGTCAAGCCAACGAACAGTCAGGATCAGGGCGGTTCCAGCTGTTAGCTGTTGGTTGCAACAAAAGGCCATCGCCTTGAGGCCTTGAGAGACTCGCAGCAACTTGCTTTGGGATTCCGAAGGCAACCCAAGGCTAGGGGAGGAGAGGTTCTAAGACCTATGGCGGAAGGTTCCGAATGTACCTCACTCCAGTCGCTTCCATCTTTTAAAATAGCTACCTCTTTTGGCACCATCTCATTTCCTTTACGAGGATCGCACAACTCAGAACCCTTGTGATTCCCTCAGAACGAACATAATTCTAATCCGAGGCAAGCTGAGACCATCTCAAAAAAAAAAGCCGCGAAGCCGGGGCCTGGTCTCCATCGGAGTCACTTGCCTGAAAGCCACCGGCTACAGGTGAAATGTCCATAGGACCCTAAGGTGAAAAAACGAGATTCTACTACGGCTGTTCAACTTGTGGCGGAAGCAAAGAAGCCGCCGAGGGAAGCGTGTGGAGCTTTCGGCCGACGACCCCATTTCCATGCAACGTGTTCGGTTCTGTGGCCGGGGACAATGTGGGTGTGAGTCAAAATTAAACCACCAGGAATTGGACCGCAGGTTGCAGTCCATGTTTTCATTTACCAGGGCAACCCATTTTGGGGTTACCCTATGTTTGACCCACAGCCATGTTGAAAAATGAAGTTCTCTCAGCGATGTGGTGCGGATCCTGTGAGTATCACCTCTGCCCAGCTCAGGCCTTGCTCAGCGATGCTTCTGCTGTGAGAATTATCTGGAAACAGCAAACTCAACAAAGGAAGCCCTGAAATCAATAAAGTGTGTCCTCCATTTGCTTAAGTCTCCACAAATCTTCCTGCAAACCAGGCTTCTGATGAAAGCCTCAACATGAAGAAGCCATCCCTCGCTGGCTGCAACACTTTTGAGGCGGGCGCCGTACTTGGCTCGAAGCTTCGGTAATATCCACAGCATCTCCGTGTCAGGTACCTCACCTCAGCCGTGCTTTGCCAGTCTAACGCTCATGGTGACAATGTGGCATCAATATATCGATAAAGCCAAACGCACAAACAGCAAATCGGCACTACTTCAAAAACACAGGCCGTTGGACACAAAAAAACACATACAAGTTTAAGCCCCCCTTTCAACAACTTATTTCCAGCAATGACACATTCTCTTTGAAACCAGCTGGGGAAAATGAGCCAAATTGTTCTTCAAGTGGAAGAAGCCTTGACACAGCCCAACTCGGAGGGGACTCTCCAGCACCCTCCCTCGTCCGGGCAGCAATGGAGGAAGCGGCTCGAGCAGCGCTCCCCGAAAATGTCCACCTGACAGAACAGGCAACGACCAAGGCGATGCAACCATTGGCTCTGTCCAAGCAGGAAATGCCAAGCACGAGATTGCCTTGTCTTGTTTGCGTTTGTTCGGTTCAGAGCCTCCATTTGTCTGAGGCTAAAGCAAATGCTACTGAAAAAACATCGCTTCGCATGTGCTGTTGATTGTTCAAACTTCATGCAGGTATGCGTCCCCACGACCGTAAGGCAACCAGTTGAAGAGCGATGTGCTGCTTGGCCCACGATGCGCTCAGCTCTGAATAGCTGCTCAAGAAACAAGCAAAGCACAGCTTATCCGGGTTGCGCCACTGCACATTTGGTCGGCCTCCTCTTGATGTTTGGCTTCCTTTTGCAACCTGCTGAAAAGGTTCCTAGTTGAAGGCAGCACTCCCGCTGGTCTATCCCTCCTTTCAAGGGCTTCACAATCCCGCGGACATGTTTCCAATATCCATGAACCCCAAGCAATGCCTCCTATTTGTTCCGGCGAATTTTCATCCAAAATACTGTGACAATAAGCATTTTAAAAAGCAGGGACCATCAACCACACAAAAGGGTTCCAAAGCCACAACTTTGGATTGTGACCAGCAATCGACTGCATCCGATAACGGCTGTGTCCAAATCCGGCTGGCACCAAACTGGGGTTCTTTGCAACTGAGGGCTTCTCAAAATCCAGGACCCCTTTTTGGATGGGTTTTAAAGGGGGGTCCCAATTTTGAGAAACGCCCAACTGCTACGCTCAGATCTGTTTCTGCAAAGACGCGTAGTGGTTCACCCGGAGCTGCGCATTCTCAACATCCACGCTGCCCGGCACTGAGCGCGCGTAGTGGTCGTAAACACCCCAAACCTTGGTCTGCAATGTCTGCAAGCAGAAGCAGTTCTCATCTGGTCCGCCAGACCCAGAACTTGAAGGCTATGACTTGAACTGGCTTCAAAAAGCACAACTTCAACCCAAAGGTTGTAAGATCATGGACTGTGATGGCAACTTGCTTGTCTATGCCTGGCTTGGTTGAAGACTTCTTAAAGTGCGGCTGTTCTCTTATCAGCTAAAAAGCTTCCATCATCTTCCATCTGATCTGGCCAACCCAGTCATCCAAGGCCTGGGCTGACCGCTCCTCAACTGCCTGTGTGGGTCATGCAGAACGCAAATGATTCAAATGATCTGAACTCGCGCGTGGTGGTGTGTGTGTGTGTGAGATGCGCTGTGCGTTAGTAGTGTACCCATCTAAGGCACAATCAAAAAGCGTCCCCCCCCCCCCAAAGAAAAAAGGACAAAAACAACTAGTAAGGCCCCTAGTTTTTGGTGGACATTTAGTCTAAGTTCCTATGTCCCTCCTAAATGGATCATAGGCCACTTTAAAGACATTGGCCAAGCCTCATCTGACACTTAACTATGCAAAACCCAGTGTTGTGGTGTCATCCAGTCTCAAGCAACTTGTTTGCTGTGCTGCTTAGCTACAAGAACTTGTCAGTGGATGGTCACGCTGGGAACCGGATATCATTTGGTTGTTTTGAGCGTCAAACATCAAAGACGTAAAGCTAGGTCCTCCCTGGAGAGGTCAGAATAAGGGTACCCTTTTTTTGTAGCCATTTTTAGTAGGGGAACCCTCCCCCAGAAAAGGGTAAAAGGGGACTACTGGGGGACCTAGAAAGGGTATGTTGGATCAACTTCATTGCCCAGGCCGAGGAGCCCTCTCTGGGTTCTTGAGGGTGGAGCCCGGGTGATTGAGCCAGCAGTCCTGGTCGATTGTCCCAAGAGCCCCAAGTCGACACTGTTACTCGAGCGTCAAGCCGTTTAACGGTGAGAACCAATGGAAGCAAACCGCCTGGGGGAATGCTGTGTTTCTGAGAACTTCTGCTGGGTACCATTCGTGAAGTGAAATTGGGAGATAGTGCAAGCCCTCCCTTGCCACTCGCACAAAGAAGTTGAGACACAAAACCAATCCCATCTGGATAGCAATTTGAACGTACACAAATAACACGAAGGAAGCACCATAATTAGACAAAGGGACACAAGTGCTCAAAGAAGAAGCCAATAACTGGAAAGGGCCAATGACAGCAATCGTTGGCTTCCATTTGGTTTTGACCCCTGGAAAACACAAACATATTTCCAGTAGTGATAAATTCCCTTCAAAACCAACAGGGGAAAATAACACAGAGTCTTAAGCAAATGGAAGTTGGGGTGCCATCCAGCGCTGCGAAATTATCCGTCCGCCAACCCTGGAAACATCGCGAAATCCACCCAGGGGTCATACACATCTGGACCGCTCGCATTAAGTGGCATCGGATTCTGCCATGATTGGAACCATTGCGCGTCTATGGGCATTCTGCTCTTTGCAAGATGTATTGGGGACCCTTGGATATTTTGATGCATACGAATCATTTTGGGTGCTTCCACACGCTTCTGCCTTTGATGTTGCAACTAGCTGCACGCCGAGCATTGGATCTGGACAAGTCACCACAAATTCATTCCTGGAGATAAAGGAAGTAGTCCTTTTTAGACTTGATCTCCACTTGGAGGTAGAACAAACTCGTCCCAAAGGGGTCAAAAGGATCAGATGGGCGTGCCTTCAACGCTAGGTTTCCCTTCCCTTTCAAGCCAGTCCAAAAGGGGTATTCTCCAAAAAACACGCACACACACACAGATTTTTCTGACCCGGTGACCCGCTGGAGGCCGGTTGGCAAAAATCGCGACGCAGCTGCCTCCCGGGGGTTGCCGCGGCCGATGTCCGCGAGCACCAGGACCCGCTGCGCCGCGCGGAGTTGAAAGCGTTCCTCGGGCGCGGGAATGAAGGGCGAGGCTGACGTGTTTTTTTAAGGCGAGCATGGGATGGCCCTGATAATTAAACCACCAGGTAAACCAGGGCCATCGATTTTTTGACCAAAACGACCACAAAGGACACCTATGAGGGCGAGGCTGACAGGGTCCCTTTGGAGCGCTTGAGAAACAAAGTGAAAGGGACATATATGGAAGGTGGCAAAATGCTGGAAACCACAAGGAACCAATCGTTCAGAAAGCAAGAACCGAAGAGCAGTATTCAATAGGGCGGGCGGTGGTTTTGAACCGCTCTTTTCCATACCTAGGCCAAATCCAGTGCCTGACAAACTCGTCCGTGGCCTGCTCCAAAATCTGCGTGGCCCCACCTCACAATGTTGCCGTCAGCCCGGCTGGCAGCAAACGCCCCCCAGGTCGCTTGGACCTTGAGCACCCGCGTCAACTGACGTGCCACTTTGCTGCTGTCCCCGCCGTGCTCTGGATCACCCAATGTCACCACTGTACCATCATCTCGGATGGCGGCAAACGCACGGCCAGTGGCCTGGATCTCCCTGACCCGTACAAGCTGCTCTCGCACCGCCCTGCTGTCACCGCCATGCCCACTACTGCCCCACGTCACTGCGGCGCCGTTCTGTGTAATGGCAGCAAACGCACTGCCAAAACCCGTTGATCCTTGGTGGGTACAAAGACCATCTGGCCATCGCGATGCTTGGATGTGAACAACGCGTGCCAAACATGTTTGCACCTGGGTGCTGTCGCCGCCATGGTCTGCGTGTCCCCAAGTTACCACAAAGCCATTGACCCTGATGGCAGCGAAAGCACCGCTTGTTGCTTGAACTTGCAAAACATCTGTCAGTTGCTCCTGAACTTGGCTGCTGTGCCCGCCAAACCTCGGATCGCCCCAAGTCACTACAGTGCCGTTGCTCTTGATGGCAGCAAACGCACACTGTGTTGCTTGGATTCGTCGGACATCCGCCAGCTGCTCCTGCACGCGGCTGCTGTCCCCGCCAAAGCCTGCAGCTCCCCAAGTCACCACAAAGCCATTGACCCTGATGGCAGCGAAAGCACCGCTTGTTGCTTGAACTTGCAAAACATCTGTCAGTTGCTCCTGAACTTGGCTGCTGTCACCGCCAAGCTCCGGATCGCCCCAAGTCACTACCTTGCCGTTGTCCTTGATAGCAGCAAATGCGTCGCCAGCTGCTTGGATCTTCTGGACTTGCGAGTAGCATCCCAGGTTACAACAGTACCTCCGACACAAAGAGCCAATGATCTGCAGGTGGCAGCTAGCTCGGCTTCTCTTGCAACTGCAATGACGTCGTCCCCATCTTGTATGCCTGCCTCCAACAATGAGGATGACATATCGAGCTGCTGGCCGTTAAACACCAGCCTCAAGAAGGGCAGCAGGAATTCCCTCTGCGCCCCGGCTTGCAGATTCTTGACGAGCGACTCTGGCGAGAGCCGTACGGAGCAAGGACGCCCGCTGGGCAAGTGAACGTCTACCTTGATGGTGCTCTGGCAATCCATTGAATCCGAGAAAAGCTTCTGTTTTTTTGCTGCTACAGAGTTTCCCACACATCGTTCTTTCCACTTTGAAAGCAAGCGATTTCCGGATGAGCCAATGGCAGCCGGGTTGTCATGTGTGGCAATGTGTAGCTCCAGGAAAACTATCCAAAAAGCCTATGCTTTGAAGTGCACGGGATTGGTGGCCCAAAGCATCCACATGGGTACAGCTCAAACCATCACTGTTCAAAGGGGGTATCTACAGCCCTGTCACAAAACTGAGGAGTGAAAGGGTCAGGGTGATTTTCCTTCGATATTGACCTTCCAAATGAGGAGCTGCGCAGCTTCTCCCTTCCCAGCTCCCTCGCAAAACTGCGTCTTCTTAACTTTTAGCTGGGCTGCAATCAGCCAGGAAGAGTTTTGAGGAGCGCCCCCAAAGTCCACCATAGCCAACGGCACCTGAGCAGTCAGTTGGCAGAACAAAGCTAGCAATCCACCTGTGCTGGGCAATGGCAATGGCCTCAAATGACCAAATCTTCGGTACAGTACTAGAACCAGATCTGCTTGAACGTCGGCATGGCTTTCATCGTAACCTGTAGTGAAGCAACTATAGCAACCTCCAATTACTCACCAGCGGCACCAGTATGCAAGTGTGCCATTTGAGCAAAAGCTTGTCGACCTATGTGCGTCGTCATCTTTCACTGAGACCATGGCTACCACCACTCAATAACAGTTCTATCCGCCCACCATGCCGGCTGCACATACACTCATGTCTGGAGTTAGTAGCATTGGGCTATATAGCGCGAATGTGCGTTCTTTTTTTTGCACTCGCTTGCAACAGGTCATCTTCGGCAGTTCATGCCTGAGTTCGGTTGCAACCCATGCAAAAGCCTAGGCGCCTATGCATCTTGGCAGTGCCAACCCGAGACCTGTTGAACATCAGTGGAACTAACGAACAGATCTGCATTGGACCGATGCATCAACCGACAACAAACAAAGCAGGAAGCACTCTTCTTGTTCCTTCTTGCCATAAAAGAGCAGCTCTCCATAAAAGCAGGAATGCACTTGTCTCCATAAAAGTCATGCTCTTGTCGCTTCTTTGCAGCATGCTGCGGTTTGCCTCTTGACAGCAAGCATTGGTCTGGCTTTACCACAGGTTCGGCTGTCCGGCTCGGCCTCGTCATACCCCCCACCCCTGGAAGAAGGTGCCTAATCCGTAAGACCTCAATTCAGTGGGCAGACAGGTCAACTCTGATTCGTTGCTGAAGGATGGTCTTGACTCAATGGGAGGTGCCAGGTATCCATCGTTCTCTGATTAGGGAGTTATCTCAACATAAGCATATGTGTAATATATCATATATATATATATATGCATGTATGTATAGTTATGTCTTTCTCGAGGATACCCTCTACTATGGGGGGTGGTTTTCGAGGAAAGCCAAAGCGAAACCAGCTGCTTTTTGGGGCAACCCCCTTCTTGATGAACATCTAAGAAAAACTTTGGACGAGCACCCCTGTGCAAGATATCGCCAGGGCGCGGTGCCCACATCAGCGATATCGCGCAGTGGCGCCAGGTCCAGATGCAAACTTCGGGCTGGGGCGAGGAAAGCGTCGAAGCTGTGGAGCGTGAGAACCTTGAAGGACTGGCAAGAAGATGGCAAAGGAAGATAGAGTCATGGAATATGTATGTATATATATGCAACCCCCCCCCCCATGGACCCTGGTTTTACTGCCTTTAGGGGATGGCAAATCTAGAATTTCCAAATTCCTTTTCTCGAAATTTCCAATTGTGGGTCCCCAAAGCGTGATAATTTGGAGCCCGGAGTCCTCCACAATGTCCCAGTATGATACCCTTTGCACATAAGATGTTACTTCAACTAGAATTGGAATTTTGAATATAGCTTAGTATGGATATAGTTTTCAAAAATGTGTTTATGTTCAATTACAGCTTAAACAAGCAAATCCTTTCCAAATAGCAGCTACATGAAAATGTAAATATATATTTTCGGCTAAACTCCAACTAATCTATAACACAAGAAGTTAGATGGAAGTTTTTCCCAAATATAATCAAGTGGTAAGTATAATCTAAGACGAACACAACTCAATTTGCTTTTGATAATATCAAGTGAATAGAGACTACATCTCAAATATAATGCATATTAAATATGGCTAAACATTTGGAAATTAAAAATAGGATTTGTGTTGTTTACATTCTGGCCCTTTTGTAGCATAAGAAAGGTCCGACATTGAACTTGTTAGACGGTGTTCCAAAGGGAAATTTCAAGGGAAGAGAGGTTCAAAATCTAACACTATTTCGAAACAGGGATTCTAGCTAAACCGTTGTATTTAAAGTTCTATTTGCGCAGGAAAGTTAATTCTATGTCAAAACGTGGAGGTAGTAGATGAGCAAATGTGGACAGGTAGTTGAAGAGGGTGGGGGACGGTGTGTGAACGTATATACATATGTATATCTATATATACACATACATACACACATATATAGTACCCCCAATGATCCTGCGCCTCCTCATAAAATACTGGAAAATGCAGTATTTTTGAGCGTTGCACCTGCCTTTGTTTACCTCCTGGAAAGGGGTCAACATGAGCATAGCTGACATGAAGCTCACCAAAAGCACTTGAAAGTTTGTCTAACCAATAACTTGAAAGTGTGTCCACTGGATCGCTAAGCACTTGAAAATTTGCTACTATCGGATGGAAGATTCAATATTGAAGATTACACAGAACACTTTCCTGAGAATTGTCAATCCTGGCCAAACCCAAATAGCATTCAAGTTCTTCTAACACTTGAAAGTGCTTTACCACTGGATTGGGGATTCAATATTGAGGAGCCCACAAACCACCACTTTCCTGAGAATCATCCATCCTGGTCAACCCCTAAAATGTTCAAGTTGTTCTATCACCTCGAACATCCGTTACCACTGGATTGAACTATTTCACGGAAAACGTTTCCGAGAATCTTATTGAACACCGAGAGTATTGGGACAACCCTGGAATTTTTAATAATTTAAAAATTATGGGATTCAAGATTCAAGATTCAAGATTCCCAGAAAATATTTTCTCAGATTCTTGAATCTTGAATCTTGAATCCAGAATTTTTAACAATTTTTAAAAATTTCTGAGTTGTTCTTGTATTCTTGGATGCATTCAAACTCTTTCAGATTGCAGGTGCTGATGTCATTGCTTTTATCACATCTGTATGCATGCATGCGTATCATATACATGTACGACCATCCCCCCAATTTTGACACAAATCCAAGAAGCAAAAAGAAGCATAAAACACTGGAAAATACAGGTCCACCGCACCAAACCAGGGTCCATGGGGGGGGGTACCATATATATATATATATATATACACATAAACCGAGTCACCACTCTGCACACCAAATCCCCTACAGTGTTAAAGCATGGCATCGGTGCTCTTCGGCCAGGCGAAGTACTCCACGTATATATATATATATATATATATTGTATGAATATAGAGCAGCGCCGTGCTTTTGATGGCTACAACGGGAAGGGCCCGTTCTGCTCAGGAGGCTTCTACTTGGCACATCCACAGGCACGTTCCATCGGACTGAGGACCCGGCCCAATCAGAGCGACCGCGCTGACTCCAAAGACAGTGCGCCTGGGCTGAAGGCAAACGCATCAAAGCGAAATTGGAGGCGAGGCTCCACTGCACAATTTGGAACACTTAGGTCTAGCTGCCCTAGTATATATGTACATTGCGGGGGCAGGAGGAGGGGGGGGGCTGAAAGTAAATCAAGGCGCCCTTGCAAATCGTACTCACAGTTCCCCGCAGGGCTGGTTGCAAAACACATGAGTGCCTTGGAACATCTGAAGCGGGTGGCCTTCTCTGCCCGAGCCCATCCCAGTGATGCAGGCTTTGGCCGACCTCTTACTCAACAAGAACTTCTTTCGTTCAAGGGTCGTGTCCGGAAATGGCCACAGTACGGACTGGCGATCGGGTATTATGAAATCTCGATCCATTTGGCAACGCGGTCTCCCTTGCACACTCATAGTACCAAGCTGTGGGCTTGCCAGGGGTTTGACTCCACATTGTGGGAATCTCCAAACCAGATTGCTTGCCTTGGTTCTCCTAAGGGCCTCGACAAAAGTCACGATGGGGGCGTGACTCTCAGTCAATATGCAGTGTGTTCCCAACTGACATTTGGAGAACCCCCTCCCCTGCCCTGGGTAATGTTAGACCCCCAAATGGAATAGTACCCTCTATTGTAGAAAATGTTTCCCTAATTCACGATCCTGTAGTTGTTTTGGGCAAGCAAGTCGGGCAAACAACAACGGGGGAACAAATCCGGGCAAATTCTTGAAGTTGTCCCCAAACCATCAAATTTAAGATAACTCCTTTACACAAAAGTACGGGCAAACAGTCACACAAAGCGGGCTGCCCAGGGGCCCCTGATCCTCGTTGATGAGGCTGTTTCGGGGCCCTCTTTAGTGTCCAACTGTGTTTTGGTTGCTCACATTCTTAAACAAAAGCCTCAGCCTTTTCCTTTTAGGGTGGTTCACCTAACCAAGCTCTTCCCAGCTCAAAGGGTAAAGGCGTTGAATCTAGGAAGTCCATTTTGCAGCTGGGCAAACATTCGCGCAAAGGGGGTTGCCCACAAGAGGCCCTGATCCTCTTTAATGTGACTGTGTTAGGGTCTCCTTTAGTGTCTAACCTTCTTGGGGGTTGCTGAAAAAACGGTCCTTGGCAATACTAAAGTAGCATTGGCAATACTAAAGTAGAATTGGCAATACTAAAGTAAGTACTGGGAATCTAAGGGTCGGCCTTGGCAATACTAAAGTAGAATTGGCAATACTAACGTAAGTACTCGGAATCTGAGAGTCAGCGTTGGCAATACTAAAATAGAAGTGGTATTGCTAAAGTAAAGACTGGGAATCTGAGAATCAGCCTTGGCAATAGTAAAGTAGAATAGTCAATACTAAAGTAAGTACTGCACTGTTCGAAGGTGGGGGGGGTGTAAAGAGGGTCCAACATTAATGGTTTGGCGAGTGTGCCCAATCTGGTCCTCCTTTCAGATCTCTTTCCATGGGTTTGTCTCCTGGATGGGTGAGTGGCCTCCCTTGAAAACGACAAAGCGGGGAAGATTGGCATCCAACTCAGTTGTCTTATCCGTAGTAGTGGGACAGCACAACAAGGGTCGCAACAACTATCTGGCATAAAGAGTACAGGGAAACATGAACCCTGCAAAGGTTTGCTACAGTTGCCAGGCTACACCATGAGGTACCTTTGATATATCAGAGTGATACTTGAACGGCCCCGAAAAGAGATGCAAATGATCTTGACCGTCGCTTCAATCGATTCGATTGGCTCAATGCGCCTCTGCCAGGGCAGAAAGGCAGTGCCGGCAGTGGCTCTGGCGACTGATAGCGCCCAACTTCGCAGAGAGGGACTGGGGCCAATTGGGGAAGTAGGAGACCTGGCGATGGCTCTAGGCTTGTTGCTTGGGGTTGGTTGGCGTAAGGTTGGGACTGCTAGGTACAAGTGTGGGAAGCGGTTGGGGCTAGGATAGATTTGGAGAGGAAATACGATGAGTGGAAAGTAGGAGACTTGGACATATGGTCTCATCCCAACTCAATGCAGTGTGTGGTTGGTTGGTTCAGTCCACACCACGATCCGAACGCAAAAACAGCTGGTCAAGGCACTTCCAATTCAGCCGGCATTCCGAAGGTGAAACAATGTAGATGTTGCTGAGGCTGACTCAAAATGGTTTGGAGCTCATGGCCAAAATATCGCCCGCAATCCGCAGTGGCGGGCCTTTTGGGTTCCGTAACTCACGGGTTTTGGCGGTGAAACTCTGGATGTTTGAGTGTAGAGCCGCAAGCCTATGCCAACCCGAGCCAACACTCTGAACAACTAATCAGAAAACTTGCCACCAACATCCAGAATAATGCCCATCACATGTTATTCATTGCCTTTGCAGCCCTTTCACGTTCAAATCACCGGCCTTTCGCGATGCAGGTGGTTCCTTTCGTGCTGGACCCTTCAAGGCCTTTCGCGATGCAGGTGCTTCCTTTCGCGGTAGACCCTTCAAGACTGCCCTTTACATTGATTTCAGACTTGAAATTTGAAGCGGCCCACACGTGCCCCCAAGGACAGTTGGGACATCCGCATCGAGAAGGTTGAATCTTGCTTAAGAACCACCTACGCATAGTCAGGGTGCTCTTGGTAGAACTGAGTTCCCACTGTCCCACCAAACAGGAAACCTTTCCGACGAATCACCAAGGGGCATCATCAAACAGGGCCAAAGTCAAAAACATGGATTCAAACATAATTCCCCGACCAACCAAACTCAACACACACCATGGATCGAGCTTGGAACCCATTACCCTCCCACCAATTAAGATGGAACCTTGCAGGGGGTGTCCTGGAAGACAATTTTCCTTTTAAAGGGACCCCCTGTCGGGCTCCATGTTAATTGGTGGGAGGGTAGGTCATGTCACATTGCGCTTTCTAGACATGGCTGTGGGTCAAAAATGGGTAGCCAAAATGGAACCCTGGTAAATGGAACCAACGACTAAAACCTGCTGTGTCCTGGTGGTTTAATTTTGACCCATACCCACATGCGAGACAACCCACGTCGAAAAAAAAACCGCCGCCGTGCCTGGCCCCTCTGTTGCCGCGGCCGGGCCGCGAAGTGTGCGGAGCCGTCCGAGTCGTAAAGCGCGAAGTGGTCCACGCCCAGCTCCTGCGCGGGAACGTCGTAAGCGCCAGCAAACTTGAACTCTGCGCCGTTGTGCAAACAGGGATCCGTACATTATACACCTGAATGTAAATGGTGGTGTCCCTTTCTGTTGATGGAAAAAGCCATGTTTCAATTGGGCAAAATGTATCTTTTAAGGAGCCCTGTGCAAATCAACGCTGTTCTCAGCCAATTGTCCATCTTATGAATCAGCTACGGTTACGACCCACGTACTACATATACTAGTTGGTGCTTCGATCCTGGCGCTTGGTGTAAGCGCTCAGTGCTGGCAACCCGAGGCTGGAGCAGGGAAGATTTGACTTACTCATTTGATCCTCACTCGCATGGACAATTGTCTTCCTTGGCCAAAGAACCTTGAAGCAAAAGGTCCACCTTTTGGGGCCACGACTAAATGGACCAACCTGGGAAAACCCAAAGGTGAAAAGGCCGGCCTTCAAGCTGAGTTTTAGAACGCGCAGCATATCAAACGAAGATCAAAGGAAACTCGAAAGTTTGACAGCTGCTCACCGGACACGTGGGTAGATCAAGCGCCCCTTTCGCGACCAGGCGAAATCGGGGCCTCGTGGTAAGCGAGCCACTGCTCCAGCAAAGGTGGAAAGAGCCCTGGGATCTCCTGGCCTGACGATGGCCAGAGCTGGAGTACCCAATAATTATCGTGAAGTTCGGTCTGGGTTGCTGCTGTTTGCAGTCACTGTTGCTGGTTTTCGTGGAAAAAAACACAGCAACTGGCGATCCAGGTAGTTCAACTTCCCTCGAATTGGTGGTTTGGATTGGTGGCATCTTCTACAAGAACCAGGGGTTCAAATCCAAAAGCACCAATCCAAAACACCAACTAGAGGGAGGCTGAGTAGTGGTAGATGACCTGGTCCATCGCAACTATTTTTGTTTTTATGATCAAATCAGTTGGGTTTAGCAAGGAAGCACAGAAAAAAATCGCTCCAACTGCTCCTTCATTGCCGTGAAGGACGGTGGGATTGCACACAAAATTAAGCGTGGCAGGTTGGGAGACGAGTTGGTACACTGAAAGTTGGTCCGGCCACAAGGAGGGTCTCAAAACAAAATGCGAGCCGGCCACAAGGAGGGTCTCAAAACAAAATGCAAGGCCCATGTGGTGATGCCCTTCCTTCAAGGAGCCAACAGGAAGTTAGCGAGCAGGAATCATGGTGTTCATGAATAGAGGGACGCCCATCCAAGAGAGTTTTTACTCCAATAGAGGGGTTTGAGCCAAAGCAGAGGTGGAAGGTTCAAATCAAAGGCCAATTTGAGCTACGGTCAACATTCTTGTGCCGCCAAGAGGACATGGGAAACACATCACTTAGTATGCCCTCGTTCTTGCCGGCACAAATCGCGAGTTCCCCATGTGGCCCAAATGGGTGTGGCTCAAAATTAACCAGGAGGGGCAAACCGCAGGCTTTGGTCCATGCTTTCACGTGACCAGGGCTTCCATTTTACCGGTTGTTTGAGCCACAGCCAAATGGACCATGGACTGGAAGTTTCGACCAAGCCTATGGCATTTCTCTGCTCAAAGCACCGCCTGCGTTGAACATCACGCCGCTGCACACCGTAAGGCGCCGCCGCTCCAAAGCAATCGGCCGGCAAAGGGGGATCGCCAAACCTTGCCAGTCGCCTGGCGGGCTGCGCTCATTTGCTGGAAGCCGGTCAACCTACCATCCTGCAAGAGGATACTTCCATTTGGTTGAGACCCCTGGAAAAAAGGGAGAAGAAACAACAGTATTGATAGATTCCCTTTAACACCAACAAGGGAAAATAAAAGATATTCTACAAATGGAAGTCAACCTACAATTCTGCAAGGGGATATGGGTGTGGCTCAAAACCCCGGTTATCCCCCAGTGAACATCAACCAATCCCCACTAAAATGGGTTGTGAAATGGGTGGTGCGCCTACCAACCAAAATGGTACCATTGGTTTTGAACCATGACGCCCTCTGCGCAATCACCAAATCGCCGCAGGGGTCGTTCCTGGCTGTGAGCCCGGCGGGGAAGCCAAACAGCTGGCGACAGTCTTGGGGTACCTTGCCCGTTTTCAGGGATCCTTCTTTCCAGAACACCACTTAAACATGTGCGGGACACGGCTATGGTTGAACAGAGCAAGTTGGCGACCAAATACACAGGGCAACGTGGCGCTGCTGCTTTTCTTCGTACTAAAGATCCCTCACTGCCTCCGTATCTCTCAGGACAAGTTTCTCGAACTCAAAAGAACATGGACAATACGGCAAAATCAATGTGTCCTAGCTCAAAACGCAGCCATGAAACTCGAACATAACCACATCCAAAACGCAGCCGTGCCAACCATCATGGGGCCTGGGGAGGGAGAGGAGAGGGAGCCACAAAATGCCCATCCTCCCTCCCTCCCCAGCCCCCATGAAATCAGAGTCGCCTGCTTCCAGGTACAAGACTCTCTCCTCCCCGAAGTCCGCAAAGCTGCAGTGGACCACCACGTCAGTGCCTCGACATGGCTCGCTCGTCTTATGGGCTGCCCCTTTTTGGGGTAGTTCTACGAAACCAAAGGGAAAACACCAGTTTGGGGGGTCCCCTAACAGCAGCCACATCGATATTAATGTCAAGACATGTCTGATCAAACCTAAAAACTGCCAGCACCTTTCCGGCGAGATGGTGGATAAACACAACTCGAGTGCCACACAAAGAGAGGCCCCTGCTGCCCCGCAGTTGCGATACAAGAGAAAATCCAAGTAAACAAACTTAAGACACATTGTAAACTTGTATAATTTCTCAGGCCTAGTTTCCGGCCACTGAATCACTGAACATCCAGTTTGCTTATTCGCTGACTTGCGTCGGGAATTTGAAAATGAAACCCGGGGCCTTTGAACATGCAAGCCACTCGACGCCCAAAAACCGTCATTGCCGAGGCGCCAAAGGCCGAGGCGGCGGCACATGTCACCGGAGGCCCCTGTCGCGGGAGATGTTAGGCGCTTGCGTCTTCTGGGCTCCAAAAACCGAGGCGCAAGGGAAGAAGCGTAGGTACCATTTTTCTACCCTTGTGGTCATCTTGAAAAATGCTCTTCTTGCGGTCCTCTTGGATTCCTCCACTTTAGGGTCAGGGAGCATCCCCACTTGCTTGTGTTAGACCGCCACAATGCCACAAAGTGGCAAATGGAACCAGTGAAATTTCAGTACCCCCATCCTCAACTTATTTCTTAAGACAAGGGAACTTCTTGAGTCTTTGTTGGGGGACACCTCTTTGGGGGGGTTGTCTCAAACGGACACCAGAAAGGAACCTGGGCTGTGCTAAAAAACACCAAACAGATCCCCCTGCTAAAAGTGAGTTTAACCTTTAGTGGGTTAAATACGGAAACTACCACTAAGCCCTAAAAGTTTAACTTTTAGTGGGTTAAATGGACACGACCACTAAATTACTAAACCCTAAGCAAAGGAACCGGACGGCTGGGGGCCACCAAGGACACCACGCCAAACGGGTGAATCGGTCCTCCGCCCCAAGGTCGCGCCTCGCCCAGCTTGCCATACCAAATGCGCGTGAAGCTCTGCGGCAGGGTGCGGAGGTTGCTGCCGGCCTGCGTGACGTAGCATCCGTCCTGGGAGGCAACGTCTGGGGGGCCAACATTGTGACACATACCAAAACCGAGGGCGGAGAGGCGCAGGGGCCAGTGGGAGAAGTCAAAACATACCAAATACCATGTTAGGCACGGTCGAAATTACTTACTCGGGGATCCTTACATTATACACATGAACCTTGCCTTGGAAATGGTGGCATCCTTTTATTTTGGTGGAAAAAGCAATGTTTCACTTGGGCAACATGTATCTTTTAAGGAGCCCTGTTAATTACGGCCGTTTCGCTACTTAGTTTGAGAGTCCCCTGTCGTGTTCCAGCGTTTCAATCCTTTCCAGGGGAATCGTTTACTTGAGAGTCCTATTGTTTGCCATGGTTTTGTGCATTTTCACAATATCAATGAAACACCGAATACTAAACTCAACAGAAGTGATTATGACGGTACTTCATGTAAGGATTGCTGAATTGAAAGGCTTTGGATGAACCAACAGTGGTGGGCATGGGGAGCTTTTCGGTAACTCTCTAGTCGGCGTCCAAAACATGTCAGCAACAGCAAGTTCCAGTGTGCCCGGCCAAAGCCCGCCTCTTGCATCCCTCTTCTGAAGCACAAACGATGGACTAAGAATTAGCTTACTAATGATGCTTTCTGATAGCAAACCGATACGCGGCAGCATAGGCCTTTCCACAAGCTTGCTGCAGAGCGGTGCTGCCTTGAGGCCAAAGTCAAGGCTCATCAGCTTGACCAAGCGGTTTGACGGCCAACAAATTCCAGTATTTCAACATAAAACCCAGTTGAAGGCATACTGGAGTTTTCCACTCTCTTGGACATGCTGACACATTGCGTGGATTAGGAGGTGGACCAGGATGTCCATTCCCGCTTGCCTCAGAACAACAACTACCCTTTCAACTTCCCTTCCTGGGGCTTGGCAGAATGAAGGTGGTCTGCATGCATTGGACATGGAACGCATCATGGACTAGCCACTTGGATCCATGAGGAAAAAGACAATCGCAACCTACCCAATTTCTTGGGGCTCAGCTGGGTTTCAACCACTACCCACCTTTTCTGGTACCTCCAAAGTGACGTTACCTTCTCACTTAGCCAGTGGCCTGCCAAAAAAAAGTATACACTTTTTCGGCCACCACTAAACTACAGGGGAAGCCACCAAGAAAAAAATGTAAAGTGTGTGTGCACTGGCCGGGTGAGCCTTTGCGCCGCCTACCTGACACCATGCCCTTCCCCTTGAACCCGCGCATGCGGATGCCTTGGCGGCGACGTGCATCACCACCTCCACGAAGAGGCAGCCGTTGGCGAAGTCGGCGCTGGCGCCCAACACGTGGATCTCCACGTCGCGGCTTTCCGCGCCTCGAGCGCCGGAGAGAGCACCACCGGCGCGGCCAATTGGGGCGATTTGGGGTAAGGGGAATTCATTTGCTTGGGGGGGGGGGGAAACGTGTTGCTGAGCAAAATGTGGCGAGAGAATCAAGTACGGAACCACGTCGCAATTGCTAAACAACTGCGGTGGTGATGTCCAAATTGCAAACAATTCACGACAGAAATCCCCTAGATGATGTCTACCAAAAACACCCCTACTAGAACTCTCGCGCCCATGTGTTCAGCACGTACCTGGCAAATCTTGGCAGGGTTTCCTAGTTGACTCTTACCACCACCACGAGATAAACAGAGGGATTGTCAATGTAAAATGCCACATCAAAACGAAAGGAGTTTCTTGATGGACGAAATCCATTTCGCACAAAAAAAAACAAAAGGACGAAATCCATTTCGCACCAAAAGGAAGGGCTGTACTTAGCTGGGCTGTGCTCAGATCCCGCGCTAAAAGTTGAACTTTTAGTGGGTCACATGCAACTCCCCACTAAACACTAAAAGGCTAAAAAGCTAAGGAACCGGATGCCTGGGAGCCACCAATCTAAGGGTTGATTCCCCATTCTTTTCAACCATCGTTCTTTTCAAAAACCGGCTTTTTGTCCAGGTTTTTGACGGTTTCCTGAAAAGAAATTCGGATCCCTGGAAAGAATGGAAATGGGGACGGTAGCCCTGGAAAAGTGGGGTTTTTCAGGTTTTTGATGGTTTTCTGAAAAGACGGATCCCTGGAAAGAATGGAAATGGAAGGTAGCCCTAGAACCAAGTTAGAGCCACCAAGTATTTTCTGGTACCAAAGTGCTGTTACCTTTGCTCCCCGACCTGCGGAAACCACGCCAACTACCCCTTGAAAACCCGCGCGTGCGGCGTCCGGGGGGGTGAAGTTACCCTCCTTTCCACCAACATAGCAACTGAGAGGGGGTCGATTGAAAAAGGAAATTTGTCTTCCAGGTACTTCCCCACAGGTGCCACGTTGGTTGGAGGAAGGGCGCGTGGCAGCGCTTCGCAGAGCTGCCACTCCCCGCGGCGGCTGGCGGTCACTGAGCCCACGCAGCGCTCGGATCTGAAGCTGCCGAATGGTCAAACAAAAGCTGATGAGCGTCAAACAAGCGGAGTTCTGCGGAATACAGGTGGATGTAGATATGTATTTCTGTAAATATATATATATATATGTATATGTACATATATATATATATATATATATATATAAATACATGGGTACATATATATATATATGTATATGTGTCAGAAGACAACCATATATATATACCAGAATACATGAATTGTTGTAGAATATCATGTATACATAACTAGGCATCGCACAAACACATACAACATGTGTTCCGCCCATCCGGAACCAACACAGCGAACACGCTTAGTAATTACCGCAGAACTTCCATTTCTCATACAAGGAAGGCTACAAGTACGACGGCAATGTAGTACGGCGGGAACTTGTTGGGCAACATCTATCTTGGATAAACTGGAAGCAAGCAAACGTTCTAGAGCACCACATGTTTGAACAGCTGGCTACTTTCGGAGTCTCACCTATTTGGATTTCTAAGATGAAACCGAGCGTTGCACAAAGACACGTAGCCACCCTTGCAAGGGATGCTTGCCCTCGTGATCGAACTCACGTTCGTTCTAAAGACCAACATAAACCAGTCTCGAAACAAACCAATTTGGACTCAAGGTCAAAACAGGCGGACAAGGATTGTTCAGCTTCCTCCGGGGCCTGGGGCCTGGCATGTGTTCATAGTTGCATCTTGAGTCTAGCGGAACATGCTAAACATGCTACCGTTGCTTTATTTGCTGTTGCATCCTCAACGGAAACGTCAGCAACTGCCTCATGTGTCTGTCATGTGCAGCATGTTGTGCATGTCAATCTTGCATCCTCTGTCTCATACTTGCTGTTGATGTTGCCTACCTGTAAGTCTATATGTAGCCAAGTTTCACAGTATTCCAAGCAGTTAACATGTTTTAGAAAATCTGTCATATGCCTGGCATATATCCACACTATCCCTAGCTAGGACATACAAGCGCCAACCAATGTACGGCAACTAAACTTATCACATGTTAGCAGTTGCCTAACATAACCCTAGCATGTGTCCAGCATGTCTAGTGCTTGTCTAGCTATTCTGTCCGTGTCTACAAGGGTCGACGGGCCAGGGTCAGCTTGTCTCTACGTAGTATGTGTTCAGCTCTTTGCTAACAGGGTCCAGCGTATGTCCACTAAGTCAAGCATACAATGTGCATTTGGGTGCATGTTTCCAGCCTGACGACGCCGGCGCTTCTCCGGACGTCTCAGCATATGCCTACCATATTTATAGTATGTTTTGTATAATTCTAACACAGCTTCTATATGATTCTTTGTGTATCAAATGCACCCCTAGCATCATACATCTATCACATGTCTCACGCACTTCTAGACTTTGCAGCACATGTCTAGCTGTAGTATGCTTGCAACAAGAAGAAAAGACGACACAGACACTAACAACATGCCTCTGTGTTTCTGTGGTTTCCACGACACCAAATCCAAACAAACTCGAGAATTCAAACAAATGAACAACAACTTGAGTTTTCCAAAAATACAACATTTCAGACCTCTGTATCCATACTGGCTGAGTTGGGGTCTGAAATTTGGGTTGTTTCGATTTTCTGGAAACTTGAGTCCTTTTACACTGTCACAAACAAACAACATGCAAAAGCCTCGAGTTGTGCAAACATTCCAACATTCCGGACCCGATGTATGCCCAAATCACCATAAATTGATCTCGAAACAAACCAACTTGGGCGTGGGGGACAGGCTTTCCTTTTGCAACAACCCAGAAAGGGTTTCCATTCGGTTTGACTTGCAAACCTGAGATTTGGCCATGGGTCAAAGCCCCCCACTAAAATAGGTTTTAAACTGGGTGGTGAATTCGCCTACCAACCAAAATGGTACCAACCATTGGGTTTGCCCTGGTCTTTTTTGGTGCCACCTGAATGGCTTTTGCCGTGACAAAGCCGCCTCGCCAGGCGGTGCCAGAAGGCCCTCCAAGCTGCGGCGCCCGGAGCCTGGCGCTAATTTAAAAGGAATGGCCCGGGTTGCTCTTGTGCTTCTTTTGTAAGATGAAACACCATCGTGGCGACGTAGACCCCGCAGGGCTCGGTAAAAGGGCACTACTGGGGGACCTAGCCATAGATGGTGCTTTTTTCTTGGAAGAGGTGTTCTTTTGGAAGGCATCTAGGTCCTCCAGTAGAGAGGTTGCAATAAGGGTACCAACTTTTTTCTGTCGAACACCATAGATGGTGGCTTCCTCTTGGAAGGCGTTCGTCTCCTGATGATAATTTGGTGAGTGCACCAAGCATCATCCCCTTCTAGGTCCTCTAGATTTGAGAGGTTACAATAAGTTGGTACCCGATTTGCTTTATTTTTGGTCTATTTTCGTAGGGGAACCCTCCCCCAAGAAAGGGTAGTAGGGCACTACTGGGGGACCTAGCCATAGATGGTGGGTTCCTCTTGGAAGGTGTTCTTTTCCTCAATGGTGCTTTCCTCTTGTGGAAGTTCCTGCAAGTTGAAAGATGAAGAGGAACAGCATAGAGGAACTTTCAGGAGGGAATGGTATCATCTAAAAGAATGTGTTTCTCTCTTGTACAACTTGAACAACTTGTAGCATCCGAATCGCTCATGCTCCAGTGCCCAAGGCAAGCAACCACGAAGCAAACCACGCGCCCGAAGATCGTGCACAAGAAAACGGCACAGCGCAACCCAAATAAATAGGCAAGCAAGCACGCGAGCACACAAGCAATCAAGCAATCAATGAAACAAGCGCAACACTCAAGCAGGCAGAATAGATCAACACAAAACACACCACACGAAACAAGGCAACCATCTGTTCTGAAAGTGAACTCAACACTTGGGAAATGGCCTGAACCTTCGAAACATTCTATTCTCACAAAAGCACCATGAAATATGACGCCTTCTAAATAGTTCAGCCTCGGCCCTGCGTCAAAGCAGAGAATCATAGGCGAACTCTACCAGGAACATATGCAAGGACAAGCGAACTCACGCGAACAGGTACCTGGTGCCCCTAAGGAGAGTTTACTTTCGTTTCCCTTACCCCTCAAGAGGAGTCCTTTCGTGTCCCTTTGGAAATGGAAAAGCCATCTAAACCCCAGTGTCATCTGGCTCTGGGTCAAAAACGTGTACAAAAATCACACCTGGCAAATGGAACCAAGGACTAAGACTGCGTAACCCCAATTGTTCAATTTTGAGCCACACCAATCTATTTCTAAGCAAACTCGCCTAAAAAGTTACACCCATCTATTTCCAAACAAACTCGCCGAGCACAGGTCGCCTATGCGCTCAAAAACGACTTCCCAGCTTCAGGACTGCGCCTGGGCGCAGCCTCGCATCATTTCCGCCGCGATCGCAAGCATTGGGGCGGATTCCGCGCCGCCCAGCTCGAGCAAGGCCTGACGTACATGTGCCACGTGTCAGCTTGCAGCCACGGGGTGCTAGGGGTGGTTAACACCGGATCCAACATGGAAATGATGGACCACCCCTTTTCCTATGGATCCAACCCACCGCCTGACAGGTTAAATGACTATAGCCTATTCCGTGATCAAGAACCAAACAGCCTTAACTCTTTGGAGACCAAATGGCCTTGACGCACACGCACACACACACACACACATGCACGCAAAGCAGCATTTACTCGAAAACTATCTCTTCTATGCACATATGTATATATATATATATATATACATATGTCATGTGGGCTACGGATTGGGGTGCATCTCGTGTGAGGCTGAGAACATAGGTTGGCAAGACGTTTGGCTTCGGCTCCCACTGCCTTGCTGAACTTGATCTGCGCAAACGTGTGTGTATGTGTTTGCTGCTTAAACAAATCCAAGAAACAACTTGTCTTCTCAGTCTTTAACGAACGCAGAGGGCCTTGTCGTCTTAGCCCAAGGTAAGGCCACACAAGATCGCACAAGTATTTTAGCTTGACAGTCTGTGATTGTGCGTAGCAGGTTCGCAGTCTGGCAAGCTTAGAGACAGGGAGCACACGTTTTACGGCTTTGCTACCTGGGACCTAGTTGGTGGGTTGCGCTTTAGGCCCGTTGAGTCCCGTTTCAAAACCAGTCTTAGATGGTCTCTAGGCGCTATATAACCACTCATGGTCATGACGAGTCAGCATGGTGCTTTGTCAGTTGCTGGCAACGGCAAACTTGGGGCTGAATCTGACTAAAAGGCCGACATAATCTACGAGTATTCAAAAGCCTTTGTTAAGACCTCCGTTGCTTGTTGTGCACCAGACTTTGTCCTATTAACAGGCGTCAGGTCGCAAAACGCAATATTAAATACTCAAGGCAAGTTGCTTGCCCAACTCCACACGACTGCACAATGATTGAATCATCGCTTTACGGCGGACACTCACCGCACGGTCCATCACCCTCATGCGGTCCGCATATTGAACTTGAAAGCTGCTGTCTCCAACGCCAAGAAGACCAACGAACGAATGTCCAGAGGTCAAGAACGACAAACAAACCCAAAGGCCCAGCCGCAACGCCCAAAACGTCCCAGTCAAACATGGCACGGTGGAGTTCATTGGAAAACAAACAGACAGCAAACCTGTTGCATTTCCCAAGCTGAGGCACCTTGGCAGCGCCGGGACGGCAGCCGTCAGCATCACCTGATCCCAAGACTCAAAAAGGATCTGGGCAAACGAGAATTCCCAAAGGGGAGACCAGAAGAAAGCTCGTTTTACTCCGGAGGCCTTTCCGGATATTGGCCCCTTCTGTGGTGCTTTGAGGTGAGGTTTGCCTTGTGCCACCTTGGCCGTCTGGCAAACATGGAAGACCCCGGTGCCTCAAACGACGGAAAGCCAATGGACAAAAACGATTGGGCGTTCCTTGCTTTGGAACTTGCGTTGCAATTGCAGGTCGACAAGGAAAACGCACTGGAGACCTTGCCTTCCATCTCATTCGCCAAGAAGTCCTGTCCAACATCCATATATCGTCCACTTGCCTGTTCGCTTGACTTTGACTCTGCGACCCCACGGTGCATGATTTGCCCTGCAAAGGCCTCGGATCACGACTTGTCTTCCCGCGCTGATGGCCCATCTACCGGACGGGTCATCATGAGTTGATGAAACAAACTGGAGAGTTCGGCCGCCAAGCTTCAGCACCCAGCTCCAAAACCACTCTACAGGTGTCTCAAAGGGCACTACGAGAACGCCAGAGATCCTTGCTGCTGTCCGAGGCACTGGGCGGCGCTGCCTAGGTCAAAGGTCCCAGCCCAGAGGTTGCTGAATCGATGATTTTCTCAGTAGAAATTAAGTATCTGGAGAAGGGAACCAAAGGAGCGCCAACCACTTTCTGCCCTTGGGGTTCCGACCTTTCGGCCCGATCAAGCGAACCAAAAACGGCAGAAGGGGAAACAACGGAAAGCACACCTAGCTTGATCTTTGCTGCTTTAAGTTCAAGGCTCGCAGCCCTGATGGAAGAACACAGAGAGACATAGCGGCTACGTTGATTTGCAGCCAAGGTTGGGACTGGAACATGGACTCAACCTGGAGCAGCCGGCTTGTTTTCTGATGGGCGCCCGTAAAAAGGGTGAAGAGGCGCCAACTAAAGGAGACTCCCTTACAATGAAAGATGTTTGAGTATGTTTCAATCTTCAGAAGAGGACAAATAAACTACTTTCCAGATTCAAGGGAAGGCATGCTTCAAAGCCCTTATCATGTGTCACATCATTTTCATCAGTTCATAACGTCTGATAACTGCATCAATCACATTCTTTCCCAACTCGCCTCAGCGTCGAAAATAGACAGAATATGACAAAGCGACTATGTGCGAGCTTAGTGGGCAGTGCGTATAGAGTATAGATACAGTATTTCAGAACTTCTTCCACAACCATTTCTAGCTGTTCGCGTCTGTCTCAACACGCCCGCCAACACGAAACCAATCTTTTGGTAAATCTCTGGTCGACAAATGCCCCCCTCTCAGTGGTACCCTTGCCCTCGAGTGAAAACTCAACCAAATGTTCAATTAGACCTGCAATAGATTCAAATTGTATCTAGCTTGCTGGTTCTCAGTCGGGAATGAATACAACAGGGGTCAGGGAATGAAATGGACCTGGGATTCCGGATTCCCTTAAAAGGAAACCACAATGGATGGTTCAGAGGGGGCAGTCCCTCATTCTCTGCCGAAGGGGCAAAGGCTAAGGATTCACCAAAGACCTTTATCCCATTGCCAAGGCGCGCAAACGCCACTCAGCACTCCCACCTCCGAAGAGGAGGAAGACAAGGCGATACACAGATTCTCCGCCAGCAACGCGCGGGCCATGAACCTCAGCAAGCCAATCGTATGAAGCAGGGACATCCTACTTGGACTTGCGACCTGTTCGGTATATGCTTGCCAACCCTGGGTTGTGACTTGTGTAACCCACCCAAACAAACAATCAATGTGGGCTGAAACCAGGGCTACTGGCCGCTGCCGGACTGGGTTGTACACCCACATGGGATTCGATTTCCTCATTTGCTCCTTCTAAGCAGCCCACACTTGGATGTGTCTCGCTACACAGTGAAAGTATAAATCCTGACTTTCACACGAAGGCTTGATACAGTTGGCTTTTGTTGACAACCGTTTGTTGACACAGCCTTTTGTTGATAGCCCCTCAAATTTCAAAACAAACTCTGGACTCTGGACTGCGTCATGCTCGATGACTATCTTCAACATATTATCAGATATGGCAATGGTTGCCCACTATGCGAGAGGTGTCAAACACACACTCTCCAGCTTGTTGGCAAGAGCGCGGCAAAGGCGGCGGCGGAAGTCGGAAGGCTGCCCATTTCACCCAAACCAAACAAACACAAAAAATGTGGGTTACTTACTTGAAACCCCGATGCAGTCGTGATAGGAGCAACATGTCACCACCTATTTCGCCCCAACGGTGACAATCATACCGCCAGGGCGCAGGCCCTGCAGGCCCCGCAGGCCCCGTGTGGTGTCCAGCCACTCCCCGACGACGTCGAAGGCGAGGAACGCGTTCGACGCCTGTCCCTCGCCGTCCGCGAGGCTGAGAGCCAGGCGCAGGGACGCCAGGAGCGGGGAAAGCGCAAGGCCGCCCTGCGGACTCTCCGCGAAACGGGGGGGGTTGGGGTTAGGCCGCCTATCCCAGAAGGGAACTGGTACGCTGTGGTAGTAGAGGTCGTTGATTTGGTCCCTGGATCTATTCCGGAGAGAGTCCAATATGCCAATATGGAGGATTGGAGGATGGATTGTCCCTGGTGGCTTGTGTTGACTGTGAATCCTGTGAAGCGGTCTGCAAGCCCTTTATCACTGTGCCATGCGTCGAATGACTGTACAAATGACGTGAAGGGCCTTGAGCCAAATGTATTGACGGCGTGTGTGTAAAGGTCAATTGGTGTAACCAAAAGCAACACAAAACAGACACAAATTTCTTTTGACCTTTCACACCGAAAGTGTATGATTGGCTTCTTGGCCTTACGTGCCATACTTGAAAGTGTCGGCCGTAGCCATATATTGTTACAATGATTCATCCAATTTTGGCGCGGATGATTTGTCATGTGAGCAAAATGGAAAACAGTCTGTACTGATTCTGTGAGATACCTAGATGTATCGAAAGGTGATGCACAATCACTGAATAGTCTTGTTGGCGGTGAGGATCGATCTGGTTGTAGTTCGTAGTGCTGATCGTGTGAGTCTTCTCGGTCGGTCGAAGGAGTGCCAAAGGTGGCTGCTTCATCAAGTGATCAGCGGTACCACCGACGGCTGCTGTCGGATTGACTGCCATAGTCTCCATAATCATTCCAGGTCGAGTCGCCATAATCCTTCCATTGCCTTGGATTGCCCCAGCACTGCTTGTTGTAGTCTTTGTATTCTTGCTGAGTCCAGGATTGCTTCTTCTTCTGGCGCTCCTTGGATCTCTCAAAGTTGCGTTGCCTGGCGGCAGATCTGCTGCGGATATATACCATCAGCGGACGGAATCTTGTGAGCTATTCATGAACATATTTTTGTTCACTCGCTTGAAGCGTTCCGCGGATGAGACCTGATAGTCGAAAATGGCAGACGTTGGATCGTTCCGCATAGCTTCCAATTGTTCATCGCTCTTGGCGTTCATCTCTTCCTTCCGGAAAACCTGCTGGATATTCGTTTTGCCCCACCCAAACACGAATGTCATCATCACATCTGGGAATGTTCGGTCATACCCTTTCTCCGTCTCATTCCACAATCTCTGATATGCCTTCATGAGGATATTCATGAGACCATTTGCCGGATTGAAGATGTGCTGGAGTCTGCTGTAGGTATTCGCGGATTTGTTGGCGTCTCCAGTGATCGCGTCACATTGGTACAATGCCACGAGTGGCAGGATCTCGTTCTGAAAATCTTCCCGTGCTGCTCCATGGCTGATGGAGGGATGAATGTGGAAAACTCCAATGGTAGCAAACGGGAGGTCTGCCCTCGTTACGTGGCGGCTGTCAAACTCGAGGAGTGATTTGTTGGATGATTTTGGGAGCATACCACGATACTCATCACTGATCACTCTGCTCGATGTGGGGAACGACAATCTCTTTGTTACGTCCGTGTCCTTGGACAGTGGTGCGTGTTGGCAATCTCGGTCCGATGTACTTCTTGGACTCAGTAAACATGGATGGTCCCGTAGTTGCCAAACAGTCCGAGGTCGGAATGTCGTATTCAGGATCAGTGCAATTTTCCTCGGTTCCGAAGAAACATCTGAACATCCCGAATGTGGTTCCCCAATTCTGACTCTTTGTGGAAATGTGTCTTGCCAATAGTTCCACTCTTGCGGAAGGTCCGCCGCGGACAAAGCATGCAATTGGTCTGGATGACCATTGCTTGATAACGATGCCCGGATGAACGTCTTGATGAGTTCTCTGGATTCATCATCTTGAGGACTGAGGAATGCGTCTGCTTCATTGAGGATCATTGAGGCATAAGATGTGTGCGCTATTCTGCATCATCATCTTCACGATTGGTCGGTCCTTCATCGCCATGTTGTACACCTCCCTGCCGTCTAGCTTTGGATTCCTCGTGAGGTTTCCATGGTTCATAGTAAGCATGTTGATCGTCAGGGATGAGGTGAACTCATGCGTCTTGAGATAGTCCACAGGGGGACGGTCGGTCGGCTGCATCAGCGATCCCAGGATATCGGCAAATGCTCGGATGATTTCCGGGTCGTCATGTGACCTAATCTTCTTCAATCCAAGTGGAAGCTTAATAGGATATCCGGATATTGGCTGTGCATTCCTGCACTCGTCCATGGTGGGACATTCTCCTCGATGGCGGAAGTAGAACTCTTCTTCTCCGAGATTGACATCAGGATCGATGTGTGCCAATGAGGCTCTCTTGCATTCTGTCAATTTAGGATGAGCTCTCCTTGGATCCTTGTTGTACTTCTCCATGAAGCGGAGGAAGTTCTTTTTGGTTTCCACGAGCTCTTCCTCGGCGTCCTTCTTGCTCATTTCTATTTCGAGGTAGGTTTCCTTGAGTTCTTGGACGAACTCGTCTAAGTTCTCGGAATTGCGATACTCCATGGTGACCTTTGGTTTGACGGATCTCTCCCCGGAGGGTTCCCTGTTCTCCTCTTCAACTTCGTCTTGATCGGTGGAGTGCCGTCGCTTCTTGGTCTCGGAGGAAGTATCTTTTTCCTTGCTGCGCTTATCGGAATTTACATGGCTGAAGAACGCATCGGCGAATTCACGGATCTTGGTGTCGTACATCTCAACATCTTCACGACTGAGAAGCTTCTTCATGATCCAGTTGTTGCTCATCATGGTGCTACCATCAGGTTCATATGCTGCAACAATATTCTTCGCCTTGATGGTTTGTTCTGTCAGCGCCTGTTCGCTCTTCGGAGAGTCGGATGCCATAGTCCTGGTCCTTGAGGAATGCAAGGATCAACAGTGCATCTCTTCCTGCTGGCACATGTGTGAGTGTTGCTTCTGACTCGTCATTGTCGAGGATAACGTCGTCGATGCATGCCATGTGGACGCGCATTCTCCCGGAAGGGTTTGACTGGGAATTCCCAGATCTGAACCGTTCTCTATGATGCTGATGAGTTGATTTCCATAGGTTGCATGGAACATGAAAGTGATGGGCTTCTTCGCGAACGGCTTGACCTTTCTCTCTTCTTCAATGGATGGTGGTGCCGGCCTTCGCATTCTGTATTTTGCCTGAGCTGCGCCTTCGTCTTCATGGGGCGCATCTGATCTTGACGGATGCGGACTTGGAGGAATGGATTCCGTTGGAAGGTCATAGTCCGGTTCTTCTTGGCGAGGCTCACTCTGCTGCTCGGAGTACAGGGGTCGTCCAAAAGATTGGAGATCGACTTGTCGTGTATGACCGCTGTTGCATCTCACGTAGAACTCCATGTCGGGATCATTGAGGAATTCCTTGCCATTAAGGAGTGCATCGTATGCGGATCTCGTAGTGAGTTTGTCGATCCATCGATTTCTTGGAACAACTTCTCCCCTTGCCTTGCGCTCCTTGTATGGCCCGTCCACGGATGGATACACGAACGCAATCTCGAAACGTGACTTTCCATAGTTCGGGAACATAGCCATCAAGAGAAGTCCTGGCTTGTTTCCAATGAAATTCCTGGCGTGGAGCTCAACGGATCCATCAGAAACCATGTCCACTTGTCGTTTGCATTCTTTATGGATGCCATGCCTTGGATCATGTCGAAGACATCCGGAAAACAATCTGCTCATTCTCTCGATTCGCCAGAGGATGAGGTCGGTGGTCTGTTTTGCCTTGGATGGATCCATGTTGAAGTACTTGCAAACCTGTTCAACATTCTGGACGGTCTTCTCGAGATCAATGAAGCTGTTGTGACATACCATCGGGATGATGTCGGTTCCGTAAACTTCTGGCTGAGCATTGGTGTAGCAGCAAATGCTGTAGACCTTCTTGATGAAGTCCATGTATTGTTTCTCTGCGTGAGGGCCTTCACCTTGAAGCGTTGGCCGCCAATAGTCATTGAATCTGGCCTTCAGCCAGAATACCCTGCCTCCAGGCAGTCGTTCATGCTCAGGAATGAAGTGGAAACCGACCTGCACTTCCAAGGCGACCAGCGATGCGGCCAACTCTCACATCCAACGACCGGTGGCATGTACCAGATGGATCAGATACCGACATCAGCCTCCAGAGGGAATCCGTACACCCAGGACCTTTCGGGAATTCTAAAATCACCAGGATGATCGTCGGATTCTGTCTCTTCATCCCGGATGTTCTTCGGTGCTGGCTAGACCTTTGACACAAGCCTCAATCTCGGTGGTGGTGACTTTGGCACCAGTTTTGGATGCGGCGTCGCCTTCGACGTCGGCCTTCCTGCGGGAGGTTGCTCTTCCTCATCTGAATCATCGTCGTTGTCGGAATCTGGGTCGTAATCAACCTGCTCCATGTTGACATTCTCTGGTTGTTGAGAGGCGGATGGATTCTCATCGGCGACCTGCTCCATGGGGCAGTCGGATGTCTCATCTTCCTCATCACGAGCAGGGGATTCCTTCAACGGAGATGCCCGTCTCTTCACCAGCGGCTTCGGCAAAGGAGCCGTGGTGTTGGATCGTCCAAAGATCGTGTTGAGAATCGGCATGTCTTCGAAGTGATCGAGCATACACGATTGCAAAGGTCGGAATGGTTGTAAACCGAAAGTGGCTGCGGATGCAGACACATATTTCTTGAGATTCAAAACGGGCCAAGTGCTAAAACACGCATCACGAACTTGAGGAATTGAAAATGTGCAAAATGAAAAACTCATGCATCAGAATTTGTGGACATGCGGATCATGCCCAGGTTCCCCAAGAAGCAAACATGGATTCTGCTACACCGACTCCTGCAAAGGCAACGATGTCGGGTCCGTGCTTCGTATTGTGTGCTAGCCACTCAACCAAGAATGCCTTGTTATGCAACATGGTACGAAAAGGTGGATGTGCATCTACATTCAAGAGATTGCCGGTGAGGACGGCCTTGATGAGCTCGTCTGCTTTAGCTGAGTGCTTAGTCAGCGAATCTGCCAGACAATCTTCACTTCGTACATGTGCAAGGTCGTGCATCTGTCCACTGTTGCTTTCCTTTCTCAACAT